TCCTTCCAAACTGTGTTTCAGCCCGAATTAGTACTTAATTCATTAAGTACCTAATGCATTATTTTTGTCGTGCGTGTCAGATGTCACCCCCTTAGGCCTTTGCACGAGCCTTTTTTGTTTGTAAATAGTAATTCTACTACTCCCACTTAATTCTAAACTGCGTTTGATCGTGATTTCTTTTTTATTTCACTCTGTAATAAATTATTTTGTCATCCGTGGCAGTAGTCGCCCCCTTAGGGAGGGGGGGGGGTCAATTGTTTTTATCATGCGAAGCAGATTTCCCCCTTAGATACTTTAGTACAGCGGCAACAGTCCTAGCATCGGACATTTCGTGAAGAAAGCTTGAAATTTTGTAGCTATTTTACCTTGAGCTAATTGTCGGCTGTATTTTGAACTCGATTTTGAAAATGTGCGGGAAATTCTCTATTCTGAATTCTCAAAAACGAGTGTGGAATTTAGATTAAACTTGGTCCTTCCAAGCCAAGAAGGAGTTGGAATTGATTTTGAATGGATTTATTGCATGAGATAGCTCCGGGGCGGGGGTTAGGTTAACACAATTATAAAAAATAATTGAAATTCACAACATTCACAAAAGGGTAAAATTTGTATCTACGCTCATTTACTGTAATTGAAAATCTTATGGTCTACTCGAGGTACTACCTATTATCCACATTAATAATAAACCATAAGGATTTGTGAACTTCGGTGCTGTTATAACAATGTCTACAAAAATTACATCAATTTGAATAGATACTCGGTCTATTTGTAGCTAGTTTCAGGCTTTATCATTATTCCTCTCGTTATTATCGGAAAAGGAGCTTACTGCTCAGGTAAGTTTCTGAAACGTAGAGGCGTAATTATCATGCTAATTATATGAAGTAAAAACCTTTGCTTTAAATATTTTTTAGAAAGAAGCACCCTTATATATGATACTTGTTAATTCATTTTGCATAGATACGATTTTAGGTAAAATTCATTCATTTCTATAAAGTTGAGATTAAATTGAGAAATGCAATGATCAGACGCGTACAGACGTACTACTTTTTACGTCGTATGACCTCAAATCGTGTTCTGTGTATTCGTAAATAATGGGACTACTCGGATTCGTAATTCCGCAATGATTCCTTTATGCACTGCATTCTAGAATAGGAGAACTTAGCTCTGTACGTAAGTGGGTATCCAAGACAACGACATATTCGTAATTTCCTCCTCCATTCTTCAGCGAATAAAACCGAGGGTTAGTTATTAAAGTTCCATAACCCAAGATGCTACCGGTTACTCTGGGAGATTCTATAAACTTATATGCTTCATTATTTTAGTTTCAGCTTTTCGGTAAGTGAATTTTTCTCTTGGATTTTCCAGCAAACCTGTTCCTATCGCAATATGGGCATGTTACAGTTTCCTGGAGGGTTTCTTGGCCATGGGGCGCCTCTTACGAGTAGGTAACTTTTCGTTCCAGTCTCGCCTGCCACATTGTTCTATACCACTTGCTTGATCCAGGTTCCTATCCTATTCCGAAATTCCATTGCTCCTTTTTGAAATATACATATTTAAGCTTTCTATTTCATTTCAGTGTAAACAATAGGTGGTTGTAAAATTCCCGTAATTTATTTACCTATCGTTGTCAATATTCTAGAATTTTCGGTAATATTCATATTTAACTCGTCTTTTACTATCCAATATATTCTATACTAATTACAATACCTATACCAACGACCGAATCAATCCGTTAATAGAGTTATGTTTTTAAAAACAATACCGTCCGCCAACCAATGTTGTTGACGACCCCTTTTGTTACTACGAAGATGCATTGCTGTTAGTTTCTTTACATTGTATCCTTCAGATTAGCTGTGTTCTACCGATGTTAGTACCGTTGCTTCGTAAACAAGTTTTTGAAATTACCGAAGCTTTGTTTGATTCTTAGCTACGTTGTTTGTTTACCACGAAGACTCGGCTCATATTAACTTGTTTATGTTTTGAATTGATTAGATTGCATTGCTATTGAATAGAAATTTTGTTATTATATTTGTGCATCGTAAAAGTATTTTTCTTGAATTTAGCGTCACGTTTATACTTTCATTTTTGATATTGTACGAGCAACCCGTTGTTGATCCAACATTTTGTTTTTGCTAGTGTCAAGTCACTCAAATTATTGATTCTTTTTGAGTATTCATTACAGTTTTAGTATACGATTATCCTCCGTGTCAGACGTTAGCATTGGTATTTCGCAATATTTTATGTACGCCGCGATTCACTAACCCTTTTAGTTTTATGTTACAGATTTGCAGAACGTGCCCTTCGGAGCTCAAAAGGTTACGACCCGAAGTTCAAAGGTAAATTTTGCTATTTTCGTAGATTCCCTGATTAACGTTTGATTACATATTGGTTTTCGATACAAATGAATTATAATTATTACATTTGCTTGAAATTTACTCACCGATTAAGTATAGCTCCGTTGATTCTGCGGAATCTTGTTTTGATATTACTTTTTTCCTCGCTTTTTTCTCCGACTACGTGTTGATCCCTTTTTACTTAAAAATTAATTTAAATTCATATATTGACTTAGCGATCTATACAGAGTGCTCACCTCGGTGCCCACTATGCATGGAATATATTATGTATCTAAGTAATTATCGATTGCGATCGATTGTATACAACAATGAAAAATGTTTGTTTTATTTCCCATAATAAGGTAGCATTCAGTTCGAGATTCAGTGGTTTTGATTTTGGAAATCAAAATCAAAATCAAATTGAATTTTTTTAAATAGGAATGCACCGTTTTATTAGCCTCATTTGATTGAGATTTTTTGTATCTTTTCAATTATGGAACATGTTAGTACCTTATTCAAGAAAATTTTTCAGAAAAACTTATTATAATTACATCAAGAACATTAATCTAGATATCCCTCGAGATATCCTACATGCAACTCGATGCAAATAAAACAAATGAACGTGTACGTTTCTTATTACCTTGAAGACAACACGAAATTAACAATAATTGCTGCAGCAGTTTCTCCCAGAATACTCAAGACATGCACTTCAAGCTTTCCGTGATAGGTTAGTTCCGAGGTTATTTCACTGCCTTGCAGTTAATAATACAAATATTTTATTTATTTATTATATCTCTCTTGTTCTGGGCTCTCAACCTCAACAGGGTTGCGTCCAATTACAGACCACAGAGTGACTCGCATCATGCTTTTTAGAGGTGCCTCTGCAGAAGGTCTTAAGTTGTTCTATACTACTCCGGTATTTACCTTACGAATTAGGAAAACTGCAGGAAAACTAATTCGGAGTAGCCGGCAGAATGCTCGAAACTGGTCTAAGGTAATTCCCATCTCTGCCACAAACGAAAAATTCACCTCAACACACGTTCGAACACCCGACCTCCGGATTTATAGTCCAACGCTCTACCATTGAACCATAAATCCGGTAAAATTGAACACTTATTGCGATAAAAACAATTTTATTAATAATTTAATTATGTCTTCAAGGTTCAATAAGAAACGTACACGTTCATTTGTTTTATTTTGATGTAGGATATTTAGCTAGATTGATGTTATTGATAATAAGATTTTCTGAACAAATTTTTTGAATAAGGGTACTAACATGTTACATACCTAATTGAAAAAATATAAAAATCTCTATCAAATAATATCGCTTTTAGCGATAGAAAGAGAACTTGGACAGATGGTCTAACGGTACACTAAATTGATTCCTTTTCTTCAACTTCCACTAAAATTTTCCGAAAAACAGAACACGCTATGCTGTAAATTTCTCACAGAAATATAAATAGACCCCGACATATACTCTTTTCTAACCGTCGCGAACTAGCTACGTTTTATCCTTGGCTGTAGTATTTAACGAAACACCACCTCCACCAATTAAAAAATTCCTTCTTCTAATATTTAGAAATAACACGCCAATTACAATAACCCTTGATAACGCCAGCTTTGGAGGAATGCCACTTACGCCGAAAATAAAGCGCACAACGTTGTCCACCTGCATCTCTTGTTATCACTTATCAGCACCAAAACACGTGTGTTAATTGAATTGCGTCCGATAACACTCCCTATTGCAAACAACCAGATAAAATTTATAAGGCGCGCAAACTGGGCCAGATGTCTATACTTTTAAGTTTTAACACGCAAACTCGCACTTTACAAACAGACTCAAACAAACTTTAACGCCGTTACAAAGTACGTGCACGTACCGAACATATATTTGATATTACCTACTTATTGATTTATATATGCGTTCTGTACAATACCATTGAATAAAAACCATTTTTATTCAATGACGTTACTATAAAATAAAAAAATAAGGCCAAGGGTAAGGCACTTCATGTATGTACCTATGCCTATACGACATACCGCGAAAACAGCGGCTGAACGGCAGTAAATTTCGTCCTCAACCCGTTAACCGACCAACTTTTAACATAATTTTCCAAACAAAGCCTTTCGCTACGAAAGTAATAATTTATAATTAAAACTAGACCAGAAACTTTTGCATGTGGCGTGTTTTACAGTTTAAGAAACGCTCGCTTACAAGATTCTACAATTATAGAGAGAAAAGGGGATTCCTTTAATAAATAATCGTAGCATGGCGCCTCGCCTGTCTGGTGCTACAAGAAATTTTTCACTACTGCATTACGACATTGCATAAATTAATTTTTTATTCAATGGTTACAACCAAGTAATTCAATTCATTATCATTAACGGCAATCTGTGATCGAGACAGTATTGCAATATGTAATATAATTACCGTGACCCTTTGGTGCGCGATTCGTGTAAAGCTAAAAATAAGGGAATTACTAATTTGCTATTCACATATTTAAGGTGGAATACCTACAAGAAACCTTCAATTCGTAATTGCTGGGTATAATGGATATTGTTACACAAAAAATTAACCTCCAGTAAAAGGTAAATCGAAACCGTGAGAGCTCTTGTACGGCATCATAAAGTATATGCGAAATTTCAGGTAACAAAATTCAGCCTACCTACCTCAAATTATCCGACCGGTAAATATCCTCCATAGCAATATTTCTTGTTTAGATGCACCAAACAGGTTTTAACACATGGAATTTATGACGTATTAGTCACGTTGCGCCAACTTTCGTACTCTAAAACACTTATCACAATCGCCTTAATATAACAGAAGGTTCATTTACGAAAACAATAAAGTATGCAATTCACGCAAAAACGACGCACATGTTGGTCACCCGAAGAACTTCGTACAGCCGCGGCGGCTTGTAAACAAATGCACGCTGTTGCGGTTCCGTGAACAGTAGGGATTTCGGTGCATTCACTCGGTGCGTACTTTACGCCGGCCTGTACCTACAGAATTCATTCACAATGGAAGCAGAGTAATGAACTGTTGAATTTATTTGTATTTGACAACTGGAGTTGCCTTTTACTGCCTTCCGTTTTCCTGTGGCATCAATATAACAAATTTGTACACGAGATTCGACGGAGGAAGACTGTGCGCATGGCTCGTAAGCTGCAAGTACGGCAATAAAATAATCAACACGAGAAACATTGTATTGTGTAGATGTTCAAATGTTTATGGAGAAGAGCTTTTGTTTCCTTTTCAAAATGCAAAGCACTCATTTCTGCAACGATAAATTAAAGCGCCCGTTGATTCCTTTTTATATCCCGTACGCTAAGCGCATGCTTTCAGCCCTTCGTGAGAACGAGAAATCATTTTCCTTCCTCCTGATATGCATTTTCGATTTTTTCCTCAATCTTCATTCAGAGTGCTGAATAAAAGGAGCGAAACATAATATCTGTTCTGCTGTGTTCGATTTGCCATGTCGTTCGTTCGCAGGGAATCTAATTTTGAGGTTGCGAATATGATATTATGAAGGGAATAATGCAAGTTCTACAAGAGGACTTTTCATGTAATCTATCTACTGCCATGAAAACAATGACGAAACGCAACAATTTGTAACTGCCAAACATATTCTGCATTTAGTGTCCTGAGTAAATGATGTTGCTAACGATTTGAACGTTGAAAAATCTTCTCTTCTTGGGAGTCCACAATCCTAGGATTGGTTGGACACAGTCGTCCACTCTTTCCTATCCTGCGCTAATTTTTTCATTACTATATAACTACCCTTGCCTACGTCCCTAACTATTTGGTCCATGTATCTAAGCCCCTCCCTTCACTTCCATTACCTTCTATAGCTAGCTGTGTACTAATCCTCCGTGTCTGAGCACGTGCCCTATCATTCTCGTCTTCTCTGTACGGTTTTCCACATTTCCCTATTTTCCTGTACTAGCTCCAAGACTGCTTCGTTTGTTACCCTGTCCATCCAGCTAATCCTCTATACCCTTCTATAGCACCACATTTCGAATGCTTCTATCATACTTTTGTCTCCCCTTCCTATGTTCCAGGTTTCGCACCCGTATTGCACATGAAGGTACGTTTTTAGCAGCCTTTTCCTAATTCTTATATTTATCCCGGATCTTATCTGGTCCCGCTTTTGTTCAAATGCTTTTTTAGCCAGAGCTATCCTGATGGATTTTATATCTTTCTTGCTATCTTGTGTAACCTTACTACCTAAATAGCAAAATTCCTTTATGTCTTACTAACCTATCATAGCACATTTTATATCTGTGATACCCGGGCATAAACACCATAGTAACTCATTTATACTTAATGACAAAAGAAACAAATATTTGCAGGTCATTGAAAATTAGAAACGTCAATTATTAATTATCAATACCTACTAAATCACAAGATTGGCCTTATTTCGTATAGTTTCTGGAACTTCTTGCTCATTCACGATGAATTGAATTATTTAAAATTACGTTTGATGTTTGGATGGTTTCAATCACATTAACAAATTCGAACGCATACTCGATCAAACATAATGAATTATTTTGTAAACGAATTTTTTCGAAGAAAACTATTTGTAAAACATAAAATTGTGTATGTACCACGGGCATAAACTGATGTTTATACTCTCGGGCGACTAAAAAGCTCTCGGGCCCTCGAGCTTTTTAACTCGTCGCTCTCGAGAATATAAACATCACTATTATGCCCTTAATACATAAATAACTATTACATGCAAAGTGTCGTTTCCTATTCGGATCTTTATCTTTTTCCTATCTTCTCTGCGCATTTCATTGCCTTTGTTTTTTCCTTGTTGATTTTCATACTGTAGTCTCTACATACCTCATTTTGTGGTATATCCTTTTGCATTTTTAATCTCTCGCATATTAGAAGTCTCATATCCACAAGTAGTGTGAATCGGATACTGCGAAACGGAAGGAAAAACCGAAAAGGACAACGAAACGAGAAACTATTGTGAAATAGACAATTTCAAGCGCATCCTGTAAATGGAAGCACGCACATATCCTCATGTTCGCCAAGCCGGGCAAAAACAAACACGACATCAATAACTACAGACCTATAAGCCTACTAAACACTCTCTCCAAGGTCCTCGAAAAAATTATTTACACTCGATTATTGAAAGACATTGAAACACTACATACCCTGCCACCTTCTCAATTTGGTTTTAGGCGAGGGCACTCAACATGTCACCAGCTCCAACGCGTCAGCGAAATTATCTCAACTGGATTTGAAAATAAGTGTTACACCACAATGGTCCTTCTCGACGTAGCACAAGCCTTTGATAAGGTTTGGATCGAAGGTCTGAAGAAAAAGATACTGGATCTGAGCATTCCTAGCTACCTGCAAACAATAATCTGTCTTCCTTGAACATCGAACATTTGCAGTTAAAGTAAATTCTTACACATCACAAATTCAAAGCAATTCACGCTGGCGTTCCACAAAGGAAGCATCTTTGGGCCACTTCTCTTTAATATCTTACAGCAGCATTACCAACAGTAACAGCATCCCTAGCCATATTTTGCCGACGATACTGCCATCATTACACAGAACAATATTGAAAAGAAGCAGTTCACGAATTACAGAATGCCGTAAACAAAAATTATTAAGTGGTACAATAACTGGAACATCAGAATCAACCCAGCAAAATGTCAAAGTAAGATATTCACTCTGAGAAGAATTATTGACCCACCCAACATCGAAATAAGCGGAGTTATCATTACCATGGACCCAAAGGACAGTGCAGTAAATATCTTGGAGTTCATTTAGATACTCGTCTCACCTGGAGTTACCATATAAACCAAAAACTCTCCCAAGGCAACAATCGACTAAGACAGCTTTATCCGTTAATAAATCGAAAGTCCTCACTCAAACCCGAATGCACTACGTTGCTATACAAGACCTTATTACGACCATTAATACTCTACGCTAGTCCGATTTGGCTCAACACTTCCAAAACCAACATTCAGAAATTGCAGCGATTTCAAAACAAAATCCTTAGAATTGCTGTAAACGCCCCTTGGTACATACGCAACAATCAGCTCCACTACGAATTAGGCATTTCATCTATTCAAGACTTCACGTTAAAATGTGCAAAGAAGTTCGTTAAAAAATGCAAGTACGTGCGACGGTGGCAGTGTTTTCAATCTTTGCAAAAAAACTTATTCATTAGATTAAAACGAAAAATGCCGCAAGATCTTATAGCTTCCGAAGACGATAGTGATTAAGCCAATCCTTTAAATGTTATACATTCAATTTTTATAAATTCGCATGATCCGTCAGAGACATTAGAATAAGTCTTGTCATTATTCTCGTCATTTTGTGTCTTTACTGTCATAAATGTCATGTATAACACTTGTATGTTGATCTGACAATACACGATTTAATTAAAAAAAAAAAAAGCGCATCCTACTAAAGTGTGCACATATGTATTTAGTTTTCTTCCCGTCTGTCCGGCGTTCTGCGCTATAGCTCAAGATTAATCCATAGACCTCGTATCGACTTCGAGTTTTCACTATCTGAAAGCTTATGCGTTCCATTTGTGCGACTATCAAAAATTAACTCTGACAGCTATCACTTTGTTGCCTAAAATCGGCCTAAATCCTTATTTATGCACCAATTTTCTTGGGAAAATACCAAACTCCATTGCTAAGAAATGTGTATCGTATCCGACTTCAAGGGTAGTTTGTCCGTCTGCGTATGTGAGCGGGTTGCGCTGGCTATACTCACGTAGTAGTGGTTTTGGCATACCGGCTAATTTATCAAATTAAGTTACTCTGCGACTCACAAAAATTGTTATGATTTTCATTTTGTGGCATCAATTCATGATCTGTTTCACTATAATACGTGTTATAGTTGTGTAAAGGACATCGTGCGGACGTTTTATTGGACTTCGGCAACTGCAATAACGATGGGACACCCTGTATGTACATTGCAATTATTTTTAACGTTAAGGTTTGGTGGTAAATTGGGATTAAATTAAAGGCAATTCCGATCATGTCGTTCGAATTCTAGGTCAATTTTGTTTTGTTTCAGAATTTTCGTTGTTAATTTTATTTAAATAATTGCCGTGTTTATTTGATCAATTTTATTAGAAGAGTTGGTTTTCGCTACATAAAAGGTAATTAGTTTCAAGTTCAGGACGAGTTATCGAGTTTTAACAAATTCGCGGATTTCGTTTGTTAAGGGTTGGACTCGCTACACGAGAGCTCTCTACAGAGACCGAGTTTATTCAAGGTAAAGATTGTGAGTACTTGTGCTTTCAGTATCGAAGCAATTATTGATCGTATTGCATTTTGCTTCTGGGAATCTTTTGTTGTTGAACAGTAAATTAATTACTAATTGATCGTTCTTCATTGGGAGTTTGGTTAATTGGGGAATTTTAATTGCTCATTTAATTTAGAGTTTTTAGTCAGGTAATTAATAACTTTGAATATTTGGGGGAATATTTTGTATTTGTGGGATACGCTATCCAATTTTGGAGTCAAGTTTATTTTGAGCTTTTATTGATTGAATAAACCAGTACTCCTTTTGGTACTTAAATTGATTTTATATGCTGTTGTTACTACCCTCGTATATTCGCAATATCATACGAGGAGAGTTAAGATAGAAATTGCGTACCGCTCAACACTTTTGGTAAGTGGTAACGAAGGACCGAAGATCTAAGACCGCCGAATGAGTGTTTAAAGTGATTAAAATCAGAACAATTAAATTTGTCGAATACGGATGTTCATGGAAGTTTCAGAAGACTTGGCCATGCGCAAGATTTGATTTGATTTGATAGCAAGTCCCGCGTCAAGTCCAGACCGTCAACAAGGTCTTCTGCATAAAAGTCTCAATAGACCAGGATACCGATTCCCGATTCCACGAGAAAGGAAATCTTTGTTAATAGAACATGTAATTAAGTAAAGTACAACCCAGTAGTCATTATTACAGATGCCAAGCAGTGATAGTCAAAGTTAAAAGCGTAACAGAGCGTAAGATTCGTGTAGAACATCTTGTAGTA